TGACTTCGCTTCTACCCGCCGCCTTGACTACGCTACCGCTCTGGTCTCTGACCCTGCCCGTCCTCTGTCCGTCGGGGGTGCTCCTGCCCTTGGCAGTGACGTCCTAGAGGACAGGCAGTACGAGCTGGCTTTCCTTTCCGAGGCTGCTCCCCATCTCTGCTCCATGCTGTTAGTCCCTGAGGGTGACCCAGACGCCTTCGACATCCCGACCCCTCGCACCTACGCTAAGGCCACCTCGGGACCTTGGGCCTCTCAGTGGATAGCTGCCATGGAGCAGGAGATGGCATCTTGGAGATCCACCGGCACTTACGTCGACGCAGTTCCCCCGCCTGGGGTGAACGTAGTCGATGGTCGGTGGCTCTTCAAGGTGAAGCGCCCCCCTGGAGAGCCGCCTGTCTTCAAGGCGCGCTACGTGGCCAGAGGTTTCAGTCAGCGCGAGGGGGTTGACTTCTTCCAGACCTTCGCCCCGACCCCGAAGATGACCACTCTTCGGGCGCTGCTACACGTAGCAGCACAGCGTGACTACGAGCTTCACTCCCTCGACTTCTCTACTGCCTTTCTTCAGGGCAGCCTACACGAGCAGGTCTACCTGCGCCGACCACAGGGCTTCACTGGTACCTTCCCTCCTGGGACCCAGTGGCTTCTCAGGCGCCCGGTCTACGGCCTGCGTCAGGCTCCCCGCGAGTGGCACGACACGCTACGTGCCACGTTAGCAGACCTGCAGTTCTTTCCGTCCTCTGCTGACCCTTCACTGTTTGTGCGTTCCGGCCAGACTCCGTTCTACATCCTTGTCTACGTAGACGACCTGGTCTTCGCTACTCCTGACAGGGACGCACTGGCCTCTGTGAAGGCTGAGCTGCTGAAGAGACACACCTGCACTGACCTTGGAGAGCTGCGTCGCTATCTTGGCCTGCAGATCTCTAGGGACAGAGCAGCACGCACCATCACTCTGACCCAGTCACACTTGGTGCGTCAGGTCCTTCAGAGGTTCGGTCTTCAGTTCTCCTCCGCACAGCCCACACCTCTACCCGTAGACCATGGGCTCTCTGCTCCCGTTCCTGAGGAGCCAGTAGAGCCCAGTGGCCCCTACGCAGAGCTGGTGGGTTGCCTCATGTACCTGATGACTTGCACTCGCCCAGATCTCGCATACCCTCTCAGCATCCTGGCTCGCTTTGTGGCTACAGGCAGACACCGACCTCAGCACTGGTCTGCCGCTAAGAGGGTTTTGCGTTATCTTGCTAGTACATCAGGCATGGGGTTAGTGCTAGGAGGACGCAGGCCAGTGGTCCTTACTGGGCACACAGACGCTTCTTGGGCAGACGACGCTGAGACGCTCAGGTCGTCGCAGGGCTACTGTTTCAGCCTTGGTTCGGGTGCTATCTCTTGGAGATCCACTCGCTCGTCGTCTGTGGCTCAGTCTAGCTGTGAGGCTGAGATCTACGCTGGTGCCATGGCGGCACAGGAGCTGCGCTGGCTGACCTTCTTGCTCACAGACTTAGGTGAGCGGCCTAGCTTTGCCCCGGTCCTGTACGCTGACAACAGGGCCATGATACTCCTGTGTCAGGAGCCTCGGCTTGAGGGCAGAGCGAAGCATATCCAGCTGCGGTACTTCCTCCTGCGCGAGCTACAGCAGCGCCGCCAGGCCCGCGTAGTTCACTTGGCCTCAGGTGCCAACACAGCTGATATCTTTACTAAGGCGCTTGCGCCTAAAGATCATCAGCGGCACTGTGTACAGCTTGGTCTTGTTCCTATAGCTGCTCCCCTGTTAGGATCCTGATTGTGTACTCTCTATTATATATGCTTGTCAGACTGGCCTTGTGGCCTTACCTCCAGTGGCTGGACTAGTAGTGCCACCCTGGCTTGCTTCAGTTTTGGTTGTATTCTTGCTGACTGGTCTCCAGACCCCTGCCTCAGTGGTTGGACTAGTAGTGCCGCCCTGAGCTGTTTGCTTCTTGTTTAGTTTCACCCCTTGTCTAGCCTAGGGGGTGTGTCAACTTATACATATTATCTATGTAGAAGTTATAGGCTAGACTGAGGTATGCTTCTAGTGAGTACAACCAACTAGTATTTGTTCTAGGTTTCCACCTCTAGTAATCATTCGTTTCTACGTTAACATGACAGCGCCATGTTATGTCAACAACATGAGTGGAGTTTCAGCTTCATCTCTAACATCTTCTGGACATGTATTGTGGGATGGTGCAGCTGCAGGCTCGTTTGCACTCAGTGGAAACTACATGGCCTTGGTTCTTTCGCTGATTGCACTGCTTGCGCTCGTGTGAAGGATGGGTGACCACTATGGGACATGCATTTTTGTATCCCAATTCTTGTTGCCTAGCTTGTGTTTCCTGTTCCTTGTGCTAGCTTGCATTTCTTGTTCACTTGAGTTAGCCTAGCAGCTTGCTTCTTGAGTGAGCCCAATAGCTTTTGTTTCTTGTTGGCTTGAGTTGGTCTTGTAGGTTGTGTTATTGGATTAGCCTAGCTTGTTTCTTTTTGTGTTTCCATGTCATGTTTAGTGGTTATCCCTTGCTTTATGGAGTTTGCTTACTAGTACGTGTCTTTTATGGGGTGAACATACACATGCTTATTCACAGAGCCAGCGCACTGATATTTGGCTGGAGCACTCATTAGTGAGAATATTCTGGCAAGCTTGCTGCCGTGCTCAACGTCTGCCAGGCGTCACGCGCCTCCATCGCCTTTCAATGCGCCTAGTTCCATTTCTGCAAGTCCTTACTGCTGAGTGCATGCCAAATGATGACGTGACTGTAATACTCCAGCGCGCCTGATGCGAAACTCGTTGCAGGCTATTCATCTGTGCACAATCTAGCTTACCTCGTACAGTTGGTAGTGGTTGGTCCACCCTGCTTTACACTCGGCGCGTCGCGTTTCCACCGGTAAATAGAGTCTCGAAGCGAGCGAACGCTTCGCTCGCCCCAACGAGACAGCCAATCGCGAGTAATTGCTGGCAGCCGCCCCCGGCGAGCGGGCCACCGAACGCGTGTCAACACTCGAATGCCGGCGCGCGCGGCAGTCGTGGTTCCTTCAGACACGTCCACTATGATCTCTGCAACCTGGCGAGACTCAGCACAGCAAGCCAGCGCGGCAACGTATGCCATGTCATCGAGCTGCTCGCTCCGAGCGTGCCAGAGCTTCACCGTGACAGTGTGCAGTCACTGCTACGGTAGCAGCGTCTTGTTGCGCTCGCCGGAGCCGCTCCGTCTTCTGTTCTTTTCGGTATAATGATCGAGAGAGGTTGTCGCTGAATTTAGCCCCTCTTCAGCAGTTCAGCTACCAGCACCGGTTGAGCATCAAACGCCGCAACCCCGACCCGTGCCTACACACCTGGTCGTAGCCGCCGACTAGTCCGACTACCCCTTCTCACACACCTTGGGAGTACTGGAAGTACGTCGTACTAGTACGAAGTACGGTTTAGTCCTTCTAGTCCATCTGTCCTGCAGTGGCCACATGGCTGTTTCGGGGATCCCGGCAGCCCTCTTCAGGTCCTGGACCTCTCTTGGCGCAGCGGCGCCATGGCAGTCGCAATGTCATCATTCCAGCACTCAAGAAATTTCTGCCGCCAGTAGCAGCGGTCGAGGTCAGGCGAATGCTGCCTTCCTCACGGAAAGCCTCACCACCCTTGCCGCAGGAAATCCAGAACCGGGGGGGAGAACCACAGTAGGATGGCTACTCGAAAGGTTCCTGCCTCTGGCAGTGAGAAGCACAGTTGGCGGCATGGGTGATACCACTCTGACAAGCGCTTCTACTACTGGTAGTAGTACTACAAGCGCCGTGGTGGCAGCTGCAGCCGGTAGTGCTTCAAACGGAGCGCTACTATCGGAGCTTCTGACCTGCTGCTGCATCGCGATTCTCGGCGCGCTAGCCGCATCTCTCGCGCAGTTCGTCGCCGAAACCTTCTTGTACCACCTCCTCCGGCTCCTGGAGCGCTTCCCCTCCCTCGGCGTGCGCCGGATCATCCCCGGGGTGCCCTTCCGCCTCACCCACTTCACCCTCCAGAACTTCCTCGCGGTGTTCGTCTCGCACCTCCCGCTCTTCCTCCTTGTGGGGTTCCACCGCGTGGGGATCGTCACGCGCGCGGACCTGGTGTTCCCCCCGCGCGTGCTGCCCACGTGGGCGCTGGCGTGGGGCATGATGGCGGCGCATGATGCGTGGTTCTTCTGGACGCACTCGCTCATGCACGCGAATAAGGCGCTGTACCGCGCGCTGCACGCCATGCACCACCGCACCACCACTGACCTGGGCGTGTTCTCCACCTCTAATGCTGGTATGCAGTGTAGTTTGAGTCTGATGCACGAGAGCAAGGCGTTGTATCGCGCGGTGCACGCCAAGCACCACCGCACGATCACCGTCCTCGGTTTGTTCTCCACCTCCCATGCTGGTAGTATGCTGTTCTCACTGAATAACTACGGTACTTTTTTCCCAAGCACTGAAGCATGCAGCTCCCTTGCTGTAGACAGTCCACCCTTGGCGCAAGGAGCTGTGGGAACAGAACCGACAGTTCTTATCCATGCCTGCTTTCTCCCCCCTCTACCTCCCCTCCCTTTTCCCTTTCCCCTTTCCTGCTGTCCTCGTTACAGATCCCTTCGAGTTTCTCCTGGACTGGTCCGCATTCTACATGCTCTTCGTGCTCCTCCTGCACTCCCTGCCCTCCTGGCGCCCCTTGGAGCTAGCCCTCGCGCTGATACCAGTGGGCATGGTCAACACCATGGGCCACTGTGCCTACCATCTCCCCCCCTGGGTCTTTGTGCCGCTCTCCTTCGGAATCTTGCTCACTCCTGGGGCTCAGCGGCCCACCACGCACTTTCTTCACCACCTGGATCCTCGTTATAACCGGTCCCTGTATTTCACTTGGTGGGACCGGATGGTGGGGACGTTCAGGGATGGCGATAAGGAGTTTGGTGCAAGACAAAGGATGGAGTACGGGAAGAACGAGGAGTAGCTATAAGAGGAAGTGTTTGCGGAATTGCACGCCAGAGGCAGTCCCTGTGGATAGACGTGTCTCGCTATGCTCTTACTGAGTGTCATGTCTGTGTCTGCACCTTAGGTTACGGCGATTATCCTAGTCCCCTGCCAAGATTCCCAAGCCTGTGGTAAAAAACGTGACCAAATTCCACTGATCATATCATTGCTTCAACAGATCAATGACAGGCAAGGCAGGCAGCAAGATGTGCTGACAGAACCACAACACGTCAAAGACCCAACAATCACAACCATCAAGACCCTCCCTTGATTCCCATCCCCTAGCCCCCTCTACGCCATGCACTGCACACGAACAGTTCTTGGGTGTGCAGCTGCTGCCATGGCGTTTAGAAGAGGGAGGTGGACTTGCCCTTCTTGTCACCGCCAATCTCGAAGTGCTTGCAACGCTGGCGCACAGGAGAAATGGAGCAGAGCGGGGAGAAAGAGAACGAGCGAGGGGGGAAATTTGAGGACAGGATGCAGAAAGGATTATGATGAGATGGAACGGGAAAGGAGGTGGAATGGAAGAGACTGGGGAAGAGGGAGGGAGGAGACGGAAGGAGAGACGGATGGAAAGAGACCGAAATGAACAGCAGAAGCAGAGGAAGGGAGGGAGGGAGGGAGGGAGGGAGGGAGGGGGGGAGGGAGTGAGGGAGGGAGGGAGGGAGGGAGAGGGAAAGGGAGGGAAGGGAAAGGGGGGGAGGGGTAAGGTGCATAACAAGCCATCTCATCAATCACCATACTAGCCACCCAAACAAAATCAGCCCAGCAAGCCAGAGCGAATGGAAAGCGCTCTATATCAAGTGCACGCCATACCACACCCAACTCCCAACCGCAGTGCCATCCTCCGCTGCGAGGGCCAATCCAGACAGGGGTCCACTGGCACCAACATCGCCCCACGGTGCGCGTGTGACAACAACGACCTTGCCCAACCCGCCTGCACGCACAGCGCTCCTGCTAATCCCACTCCAAGTACTCTGGCCCAATAGCTTACCACATGCACCGAACAGCCTTCCATACTGCCACGCACCCTTCCCTATTCACCCCCCCTCCCCCCCTCCCTCCCTCACTCTTCCCTGCACGATCTCACCTTGTCTGCCTCCTCTCCCCCCCCTCCCATTGGTCCATCCACACCCTTATCCTCCCAGGCCTGTTACACCCTCCCTTCCCCAAGGGCGTCTGATGCATGTGCTTGCACGACTGGCACCGCCTTGAAGACGAAGACTGCTCTCTCAAAGCTACCCACCTCACGCCCCAACCCACGGTTCCCCCAGCCACCCTGACGCTGACCTTGATGGGCGTCTGGTGCATGTGCTTGCACGACTGGCACTGCAGCCTCAGCACGATCTTCTTCGTGGTCTTCGCCTGCGGGCGGGCACAACGGCGGGTGGGCACAACGGCGGGCGGGCACAACGGCGGGCGGGCACAACGGCGGGCGGGCACAACGGCGGGTGGGCACAACGGCGGGTGGGGACAACGACGGGCGCAGATAGGGGCAATTGCAGGGGGACGGGGCGCAAGTGGTGAGTACGGAGAGAAGGGGGGAAACAGGGCGAATGAAGTGTAAAGGCGGGCAGGAAAGCCACAGACTGAGGGGAGGAAGAGCAGCGAATTAAGCGGCGGGAATGGGTGGAGACGAGAGATGGGGAGGGAAGGCGGGGTGAGGGGGAGGGGAAGGGGAACGCGGGAGCGGAAGGCAGTAGTGTAACGAATAGACGCGCCCGAGAGTAACGACAGACACGTGCGCAGTGACCGAGGACGACGGATCGGCGAATCGCGAGTTCCGCTGACGCAAGCACGCAAACATGCCAAGACTTGGTTGCCGAGGGGCATAAACCTCCAGTAGCTTCTCCCATCACCCCATGGCCTCTCCCGATCTGACCCCTTCCTCGACCTCAAGCCTAAATCACCTGGCCTTATGACCTGTCTTTCTTCGCGCCAAATCCCTCCCATGGATCCCGCTGGCCACTTCGACTTGGCGCCTAATCGGCAACGATCCGATAATAACTCGTGCCGCTGCCCTTTCCCTCTACCCACTCTCACCCCCACCCCCCCCGCCGTCTTCCCAGCTCCCGCCGTTCCCTCCCCAGGCCGCCCTGCTCCAAAGGGAACGAAATCGTCGAGTGCCTGGGAGCTCATAACCGGAGGTAAGGAGACGAACAGAAGCTACAAGGATCCCCGTCCCAATCCGAATCCGAACCCGAGTCGTAGTCCCAATCTCGATCCCAATCCCAGTCCTAGCCCCAATCCCATTTCCGGCCTTACCTTCTTGTGGAAGACGGGCTTGGTCTGTCCACCATACCCGCTCTGCTTCCTGTCGTAACGCCTCTTTCCTGCCAGCACAGAGGAGGAACCACGCGTAAGCGACGGGCAAGCAACACATGCATTCAACGAGCCGTGGAGTGCATAGCACCTACAGTGCGCAAAGTCAAATCTCCTCCCTACGCTTTCTGCTACACGAAACCTTACAGAAGCGTCGGCCCTTCCGAGAGCAAGCACCTGCCTGTCGGTTACTCTCTCGCACAATCAGACACAATGACCTGCAATCTCCCATGCATCGCTGCGCGTGGAAAAGAAATCTAGAGCGCTTCCGAGCTCCCGCGTTACGTGTTCCAAATCCCGGGTAGGATACGCAGAAGCCGCCGCCGCGACCGTGGATCATTGCCGTTATGTGCGGCGTACCTTGCGCGTAGACGCTGTCCTTGCCCTTCTTGTACTGAGTGACCTTGTGGGTGGTGTGCTTCTTGCACTTGCCGCCGCAGTACGTCTTCTTCGTCTTTGGCACGTTCACCTGTGACAGTATCGCGGGAAATGGCAGCACAACCCCCCCAGAAAGAACGGGAGAACTCGGAAAAAGTAGCTACGGAAGGCGGGTGAAAGCTACGCGCATAGGAGATCGCGAATTAACGGAAGGTGGCTAAACATTCCATCCCTAACCCGCTAGTCGCGGTAGCGATACACATCCATTTCCAGCACATGCTCCGCCATAACTGACCATGGTTGCGGCTCGAGAACGACAGGGAAGGGGGACCAGGCACAGTGCCCCGTGCGTGACAGGCGGATGCCTTAGCGGAGAGAACGGCGACGAAACTAGCGTCGAATCACAAGGAGGCGAGAGAAGGGAGAAATGGAGGGAGGGGGAGAAAACCCTCGCCGAACAGGGGAGTGGAGGGGAGAGGGTGGGAGGGGGTGCTCGACATCTGAAATAAAAGAGTTTTAGGAGCGATAAGCAAACCACGCCTAAGGTTCCGTGAAAGCTCTGCGTGGAGTATCGAGGAATCTCGTATCGGGAATACAAATGGTGGTGCGCCACGCGGCTTCGGCTTTCTCACATTTCTCAACAGTTGTACCCTTTCGCCAAAACATGGTTTCAACAGATATATCATCTTATGAGTGAATGTACAGATAACGTCTAACATTCTTACCGGTACCACTTTCAACCAGTCCATGTGAGCAGCTTACATATTCCCATCAACATTACATTCAAGCATCATACACGAACCATAGAATTCGTTCTGACAGATATAAAAGGCTGAGGTAGATAGACTTGATGGGAAGAGAAATTGAGATGCAAGTGCAGGCCTAAGTGTCAACTTATACATATTATCTATGTAGAAGTTATAGGCTAGACTGAGGTATGCTTCTAGTGAGTACAACCAACTAGTATTTGTTCTAGGTTTCCACCTCTAGTAATCATTCGTTTCTACGTTAACATGGTATCACGCTTAGGTTAGGATCCCCCCCGCCTACCGCTTCCGCCCGTCGCGCCTCCTAGGCCCCGTCGCGCCCCCTAGGCCCCGTCGCGCCCCCCCTGGGCCCCGTCGCGCTCGTTAGGCCCCGTCGCGCCCCCCCTGGGCCCCGTCGTGCCCGCTGGGCCCCGTCGCGCCTCCTAGGCCCCGTCGCGCTCCCCCTGGGCCCCGTCGCGCCCGCTGGGCCCCGTCGCGACCCCTAGGCCCTAACGCGCCCCCGCTGGGCCCCGTTGCGCCTCCTAGGCCCCGTCGCGCCCCCCATGGGCCTCGTCGAGCCCGCTGAGCCCCGTCGTGCCTCCTAGGCATCGTCGCGCCTCCTAAGCCCCGTCGCGTCCCCCCCCCTCTGGGCCCCGTCGCGCCCGTTCGGCCCCGTCGCGCCCCTCCTAGGCCCTGTCGTGCCCGCTGGGCCCCGTCGCGCCTCCTAGGCCCCGTCGCGCCCCCTCTGGGCACCGTCGCGCCCGCTGGGCCCTGTCGCGCCTCCTAGGCCCCGTCGCACCCGCTGGGCCCCTTCGCGCTTCCTAGGCCCCGTCGCGCCTGCTAGGCCCCGTCGCGCCCCCCCTGGGCCCCGTCGCGCCCGTTAGGCCCCATCGCGGCCCCCCTGGGCCCCGTCGTGCCCGCTGGTCCCCGTCGCGCCTCCTCGGCCCCGTCGCGCCCCCCCTGGGCCCCGTCGTGCCCGCTGGGCCCCGTCGCGCCCCTTAGGCCTCGTCGCGCCCGCTGGCCCCTGTCGCGCCTGCTGTTAGCGCTCGCCTGCCTGGCCTCCTAGTGCCGCTCGGCCTCCTCCTAGTGCCGCCCGGCCCCTTCCTAGCGCCGCCCGGCCTCTCCTCAGCGCTGCCCGGCCCCTCCTCGTGCCCGACCGGCCCCAGCAGCACCAGCCTGGCCCCTCCCAGCACCAGCCCGGCCCCAGAGCACCTGCCCGCCTCCCCTGCTCGGCCTGCCGTGTCCTCTCGGGCCCTGTGTCTTCTGCTCGCCTGCGCTGGGACGCCTAGCTGCTGCCCTACTGGAGAGTGCTGCCGCCGTGTCCCCGCGCCGCTGTGCTCCTGTGCCGCTGAGGAGCTGTGCTGCTGTGCCGCTGTGTCGCTGAGGAGCTGTGCCGCTGACCCTGCACGATGGCTGACTTTGTGCTCCGCCTGGACGCTGAGGGCCACGCGGTTGACTTCGCCGCCTGGCTCTCCGATCTCCGCCGCCAGCTTACAGGTCAGCGCCAGGATGGCCACTCTCTGGTTGTCCATGCTGATGGCTTGCTCCCCCGTCCCCCTGCACCTACTCCCCTCCCTGCTGACCCCTCCTCTGATGACCGTGAGGCTTTCTCTACTGCTGCGCTGGCCTGTGCGGTCTGGGACTCACGCGATGCAGTAGCTCAGGTTGCTATTAGTCACGCCCTCCCTGTGTCTGAGCGCTCGCGTTTTGCTACTGTTGAAACGGCCAAAGCTTATTTAGACGCCGTTATTGCTCGCTATTCCACCCCTGCCTCCGCTTCTGCTGGCCGCTTGCTCTTTCCGATGCTGTTCCCAGACCTGGCTGCCTTCCCTACTGTCGCAGACTTTGCCACTCATTTGCGTGCCCTAGAGACTCGCTATCGCACTGCCAGCACTGCTGCCCAGCTCACTGCGCTCCCCCCTCCTTTCTGCATGACGCTCTATTTTATCGCTATGCGCCTGCCAGACCGCCTCGCTAGTGCTCGCGACCACTTTCTTAGCCAGCACCCGGGTGACCTCACCCTGACCGCCTTTGTCGACACCCTCACTGAGATCGAGACTCGCCAGCGCACTATCGCTCAGTCGAGCGGTGCGCCGGCAGTCTCTATCTTTCACGGCTGTGCCCCATCCCAGTGCACGTTCACTGACGTTTCGGCTGCGGTCGCCACGGCGACCCCTCTTACCGAGACGGCTGCTGCTGTCCACCCGCAGCAGCGCTCGCGTCGCGGTGGCCGTGGCCGCCAGGGAGGTAGGGGTGGTGACGCAGGTGGTAGTGGTCGTGGTGGTGGTGACGGTAGTCCGCCTGAGGGGACTACCACCGGTGGGCAGGAGCAGCAGCCCCAGCAGCAGCAGGACCAGCCCCAGCCGCAGCCGCCGTCCCAGCAGCACCCGCCGCAGCCGTGGGCTCGTCTCCCGCCTGGTTGGCCCGGCACCTCCGGAGGCGGTGGCCGTGGTGGCGGCCCGCGCAGCTTGGCGTCTACCAGCGGCTCCAGTGCTGTGACCTGCCAGTACCAGCTTCAAACCGGGCCTCTCCGCGGCACTCTGTGCCGCCGCCCGCACCCGACCGCCCGCTGTTTCCGCCGCCTCGACGATCTTTTTCGTCGTCGCTTTGGCCCGGCCCCGGACCTCCCTGACTGGCACAGCCTACTCCGCCAGGGCGTGCCGATCTTTGAGTTAGACATGGATCAGATAGGTGCTGCTTTGCATGCTTTGTATGCTGACGCTTCTAGTGTTGCTGGATCTTACTACCCTGTGTACTCTAGTTTAGGTGTTTCACCCTTGTGTAGCTTAGCTTCCCCTGCTGCGACAGGCGTAGGACTGCCTAGGTTGCCTAGTCTAGTCGCTGCACCGGCTCCGTCCCCGGCCTCCGCCACTGCGTCGCTGTCCTTCACTCTCGACTCTGGTGCTTCTGCCTGCTTCTTCCGCGACCGTTCCACGCTCACGCCGCTTGCTGCACCTGCTGTTGTCTCTCTCGCTGACCCCTCTGCGGGTCCGGTCGTCGCGCGCAGTTCTACGTCCCTTCCTTGTCCGGCAGTTCCCTCGGGCTCCCTTACTGGCCTCCACGTTCCCTCGTTCTCCAGGAACCTGGTTGGTGTCGGCTGTCTCCAGGACCTCGGCGTCACCACCACGTTCCCCGGGCACGAGCGGTTCGCTGTCTGTTCTGAGGCTGTCTCAGGTTCCCCCCTTGCGACGTTCCCCCGGGACCCGGTGTCCGGTCTGTTTACCCTACACACCGCTTCCCCCCCGGTTGGTGCGTCCTCCCAGGTCGCTGCAGCTTGCTCGTGTCGGTCCCTCACTCACCCCTCCCTTCTCTGGCACCACCGCTTAGGTCACCCTGCTCTCCCGCGTCTGCGTCACATGTCCCAGCACGGTCTTGTCTTAGGTCTCCCCGCGTCGCTCCCTGCCCTTCCTCCCTCGACTGCGCCACCGTGCACGCCTTGCGTCGAGGGTCGGCTCCGCCGTGCTCCTCACTCCTCCTCGCTGCGTCCTGCTACTGCACCCCTTCAGACCCTGCACTTGGACGTTTGGGGCCCTGCCCCCGTCCCCGGACCGCGCGGTGAGCGCTACTTCCTTGTGCTCGTCGACGACTACACGCGCTACACCACGGTGTTTCCCCTGGAGCGGAAGGCCGACGTGCCCGACGTTCTTCTCCCGTGGGTTGTGGCTGCGCGTCTCCACCGCGGTCTCCCCGTGTTGTGTCTCCACTCCGACCGTGGCGGCGAGTTCGCCTCTGGTCGGCTTGGACAGTTCTGTCGTGCGGAGGGCATCACCCAGTCGTACACGTTGCCGGACTCGCCACAGCAGAATGGGGTTGCTGAGCGCCGCATCGGCTTGGTCATGGAGGTCGCCCGTACCTCCATGATCCATGCCGATGCCCCCCATTTTCTGTGGCCGTTCGCTGTTCGCTACGCGGCTCACCAGCTTAACCTGTGGCCACGCTCCCAGCGGCCGCAGGTTTCGCCGACCCTCCTTTGGACCGGGTCCCCCGGTGACGCGTCTGCGTTCCACGTCTGGGGCTGCCTTGCTCACGTTCGTGCCTTTGGCACGGACAAGCTCACTGCCCGCACTGTCCCCTGTGTCTTCCTCGGTTTCCCCCTGGACTCGTCTGACTGGCTTTTCTACCACCCGCCGTCTCACCGCTTCCTCCACTCTCGTGACGTCACCTTTGACGAGTCCGTCTCCTTCTACCGCCGCTTCCCTCACCGAGGTCTCCCAGTTGCCCCCCCCCTTTTCCTTGCTCCCTCTCCCCCGGTAGCCCCTGCCCCTCTCCCGCCTCGTCCTGCCCCGTCTGGTGTCTCCCACGTCACTCCCCTCCCGTCGGTTGTCCCCGTTGAGGAGTCTGCTGACTCTCGTGGTACCCCCGGTCCGTCCTTGCAGCGTCCCCCTTCCCCGGTGCCTCCGCCCCCACTGTCGCAGTCGCCGACCCCGCTGCCGCCGCTGTCGCCGCCGCCGCAGCCGTTGCCGCCACTGCCGCCGCTGCTCTCGGCCCCTGGGGGTGCTGGTGTGGAGGAGGGTGTTCGTCCTGCGGCTTCTGGGGGTGCCGCTGGTGTTGGAGGGGGTTCTCGCTCTGGGGGTGCTGGTTCTGGGGGTGCTGCTGTTGAGTGTTCTGCCGACGGTCGTTCTGCCTCTGCTGGTCCGAGAGTTCCGGCCCAGCCGTCGTCGCCGCCGCAGCAGCCGTCGCCGCCGGTTTCCGCTCTCCGCCTGCTCGGCCTTCCCTCCCCGGACCGCGCGCCGGTGTCTCCCCCACCGCCTCCTGACCTTCCTGTCTACGGTCCTGTGTTCCCGCCGCCAGACTCGTCTCCGGCCCGTCTTCCTCCTCGTTCCCCTCCTGTGTCTCCTCCGCTGTCCCCTGACCCTACCCCTCCGTCTCACGTTTGGGCTCGCCGTCCCTCCCGTGCTCGTCCCGTCTCTCCTGTCCTGCCCACCCACCCTATGTTGCTCCGTTCCCACTCGTCTCGTCCTCCCCTCCTCCCGTCCCCTCCTCCCTCGTCCCTTGCTGTTGCACCTCCTCCGTTCTCTGACTACCTCCGTGCTGCTCGTCCCCTTGTCCCTCGGGTCCTTGCCTCTCTTGTTACCGACCCTGCTGTTCCTGTCTCGCGCCTTGACGCGCTTGTCGCTGCTGTCGCTGACTTCGCCTCTACCCGCCGCCTTGACTACGCTACCGCTCTGGTCTCTGACCCTGCCCGTCCTCTGTCCGTCGGGGGTGCTCCTGCCCTTGGCAGTGACGTCCTAGAGGACAGGCAGTACGAGCTGGCTTTCCTTTCCGAGGCTGCTCCCCATCTCTGCTCCATGCTGTTAGTCCCTGAGGGTGACCCAGACGCCTTCGACATCCCGACCACTCGCACCTACGCTGAGGCCACCTCGGGACCTTGGGCCTCTCAGTGGATAGCTGCCATGGAGCAGGAGATGGCATCTTGGAGATCCACCGGCACTTACGTCGACGCAGTTCCCCCGCCTGGGGTGAACGTAGTCGATGGTCGGTGGCTCTTCAAGGTGAAGCGCCCCCCTGGAGAGCCGCCTGTCTTCAAGGCGCGCTACGTGGCCAGAGGTTTCAGTCAGCGCGAGGGGGTTGACTTCTTCCAGACCTTCGCCCCGACCCCGAAGATGACCACTCTTCGGGCGCTGCTACACGTAGCAGCACAGCGTGACTACGAGCTTCACTCCCTCGACTTCTCTACTGCCTTTCTTCAGGGCAGCCTACACGAGCAGGTCTACCTGCGCCGACCACAGGGCTTCACTGGTACCTTCCCTCCTGGGACCCAGTGGCTTCTCAGGCGCCCGGTCTACGGCCTGCGTCAGGCTCCCCGCGAGTGGCACGACACGCTACGTGCCACGTTAGCAGACCTGCAGTTCTTTCCGTCCTCTGCTGACCCTTCACTGTTTGTGCGTTCCGGCCAGACTCCGTTCTACATCCTTGTCTACGTAGACGACCTGGTCTTCGCTACTCCTGACAGGGACGCACTGGCCTCTGTGAAGGCTGAGCTGCTGAAGAGACACACCTGCACTGACCTTGGAGAGCTGCGTCGCTATCTTGGCCTGCAGATCTCTAGGGACAGAGCAGCACGCACCATCACTCTGACCCAGTCACACTTGGTGCGTCAGGTCCTTCAGAGGTTCGGTCTTCAGTTCTCCTCTGCACAGCCCACACCTCTACCCGTAGACCATGGGCTCTCTGCTCCCGTTCCTGAGGAGCCAGTAGAGCCCAGTGGCCCCTACGCAGAGCTGGTGGGTTGCCTCATGTACCTGATGACTTGCACTCGCCCAGATCTCGCATACCCTCTCAGCATCCTGGCTCGCTTTGTGGCTACAGGCAGACACCGACCTCAGCACTGGTCTGCCGCTAAGAGGGTTTTGCGTTATCTTGCTAGTACATCAGGCATGGGGTTAGTGCTAGGAGGACGCAGGCCAGTGGTCCTTACTGGGCACACAGACGCTTCTTGGGCAGACGACGCTGAGACGCTCAGGTCGTCGCAGGGCTACTGTTTCAGCCTTGGTTCGGGTGCTATCTTTTGGAGATCCACTCGCTCGTCGTCTGTGGCTCAGTCTAGCTGTGAGGCTGAGATCTACGCTGGTGCCATGGCGGCACAGGAGCTCCGCTGGCTGACCTTCTTGCTCACAGACTTAGGTGAGCGGCCTAGCTCTGCCCCGGTCCTGTACGCTGACAACAGGGCCATGATACTCCTGTGTCAGGAGCCTCGGCTTGAGGGCAGAGCGAAGCATATCCAGCTGCGGTACTTCCTCCTGCGCGAGCTACAGCAGCGCCGCCAGGCCCGCGTAGTTCACTTGGCCTCAGGTGCCAACACAGCTGATATCTTTACTAAGGCGCTTGCGCCTAAAGATCATCAGCGGCACTGTGTACAGCTTGGTCTTGTTCCTGTAGCTGCTCCCCTGTTAGGATCCTGATTGTGTACTCTCTATTATATATGCTTGTCAGACTGGCCTTGTGGCCTTACCTCCAGTGGCTGGACTAGTAGTGCCACCCTGGCTTGCTTCAGTTTTGGTTGTATTCTTGCTGACTGGTCTCCAGACCCCTGCCTCAGTGGTTGGACTAGTAGTGCCGCCCTGAGCTGTTTGCTTCTTGTTTAGTTTCACCCCTTGTCTAGCCTAGGGGGTGTGTCAACTTATACATATTATCTATGTAGAAGTTATAGGCTAGACTGAGGTATGCTTCTAGTGAGTACAACCAACTAGTATTTGTTCTAGGTTTCCACCTCTAGTAATCATTCGTTTCTACGTTAACACTAAGAACTAAATCACACCCTTAGGATGTTTCAAGTGAGAAGCAGTTTCGAAAAGGCGGTTAAGATGGTCTAAGCTAGCGAGTCTAGCCCAATCCAGGAACCTACCCTCTTCCTCCTAAACCAAGACACTGCGTCAGAAACAACCTCGGGTGGTGGGGACCTCTCGGAACCCTCGTACTCCACGTACTTTAGATGATAACCACACCTCCGCAGCTTAGGTACAAGCTGCTGACTACAAATATCGATTTCTCGATCCGGTACAGATGTCCCATGTGATATAAAGATGTCGGGGCCATCTTGATAGCATGGCAAGTCAATCGTTCCGGGTGTAAACGCCATGACATGGCTGCCAAAAGGAGTGGCGAAGGAGAAAAATCAGTGCTCACGTCTTAGCGCATGGAGAAAAGTTTAAAGCCACAGTAATTTACCTGAACAGCTGACTGTTCCGCAATCCCAAAGCCATAGCCATGGTTCCTCCATCAGAAATTCCTGACAAGCACACGCTTTCTGGGTCTACAGAAAAACGGCTAAAGGCAGTTTCCATTGCCCTGCAGCAACAATTGACCATGTAGTTAGCATAGGAACGCTCAAGGCAGTAGTCATTACAACAACCAACGGCAGAGCCTACTTGTCGATGAAAGAGGCATCCATGTTTGCCCCTTCGAAGCTGCAATCCCACAGCACATCCCGCGCATCTGGAGCCACCAAGAGGATGCGATGTTGCTCTGCGCACTGCATGAACGGAGCGAGGGCTTCCTTCGCATCTCCATCTTCCGTATGCAGCGCCACGAGAATAGGACACGGACTAGCTTCGGTGTACGTGCTTGGAACGTATACCAGACCGTCTGGTCCTCCCCTGCAGCCCGTAAGGCAGGAGAAGTCAGAAATTCTAAAAAGACATCACTGGAAAAATAAAAATAAAAAAAAATCAATGAAGTACCCTGAATTTAGGTCAAGGGGAAACGCCTCTCCGAATTTCAGCGGTTTGCAGCAGCTGCAAGGCGTCCCTGGAGTTGCACTTGGAGGGCAGACCAAGGAACTCCACGGGCTCGACGGCTTCGATGACAACGACGGGGAACGCGCAATCGGATCCGCTTGAAACTTGAAAAACACTTTCCTCCCGTTTTCCCTTGGCTCAAACACGGTGCCATCGCTCCCCACAGAAATAAATTCGTCAGCCATGTCTAGTCGTGACAGTCAGCTCTGACAAAACTGGCGCAAGGAGCAAACAAACAACCTTCACACTCATGAGAGAGCGGGATTATTGCCTGCCTTGCCTCCATTGCTTGAATCCTGGGACACACAGGCGTGGTCAAGAGAGGCGCCATGGAGCTTGAGCATTCACCGACGATTCAACCAAATGCCATGCATCACGTGGTCTCTGCATGCACTGCGTGTGACTCAGGGCGTGGAGCCTACAGTTGCGGTTTCGCTTTGGGTTGCGCAACCCGGCATGGTTACAGCTTTCGTGGATATCGTCAAGGTATTTTTTGCGAAAAACGGACAGGGGTTGCGCAACCCACGTCCAGCCCGGTTTCGAAACCCACTCCGCAATCCAGTCCGAAACCCACGTCCGCGCGAACCAAGGAAGCCACCACTTGGTCGAAAACCAGTTTCTAGGTCCAACGAACGCACATGCCTTTCGAAAATCCAATCCTTTTCGCCGTTGCGCACTGGGCGAAACTTTCCTCAGTTTCCTAATTCTCATTATATTTCTATCTGCGAAATTTGAAACAACCGCAACCCAGTGTTCCAGGTGTGTTTGGGTTTCCCGCTGGGTTGCGGAATCCCATGTTCCAGTTGCATTGCGGGATCACGGTTTGTGGGTTGTGCAGCTGGCAGCGCAACTCACAGATGTGCAACCCTAGGATACACGCCTTCAGCTTGCTCAGGAGACTCCGTAACTTGCTTGGATTCCGATTGGGGCTGCTTCGTTGTTGCCATATCTTCCAACTCTCCAAATCACTCTCTGACAATATGTTCTTAGTTGCAGTTTCCCTTCACCATATATAATAACGCTATTATGATAATCTAAACAAGTAGCGTTGCTAAAGAAATATAAAGAGAATTTCTTAGCGTTGCTGTAAATTTTTATTTTAAACAAAGAATTCCTTTTATTTCATAACAATCTTCTATATTCTTGAGTATGCTTTAGCGATTTTCGATGAGCTTCGACCTTTGGATGCGGATTGAAATGTGGTATATTATCACGATTGATTTTCTTTGTACTAGTATTTGTAATAGCTGGGAGCATTATACATCTAGCAACCACATAGTGGTGGTTCGTTGGTTTTTGCATTTCAGACTCTTCGAATAATTTCGTCTATCGCACTCTCTCTAGCAGGGATGGCATGCTCCCCCTGGTCATCTCATCGTCGCTCACTGGTGGTACTGTAGCACGCTCCAACCAGCACAGATCCGACCGTTGCTGCTCCACCCCACTCCTAACACCACAGATCCCAATGCCGCCATAGTGTCTACCTGAAATATTACTCAAGCAATCACTGTGGTGAGATCAGAGGAGCTACTGGAGAGTAGCTACTGGAGAGTAGCTCACAGCTGCTGGCTCACCGCATCCGATCTGCTATCTGGACTCTACTGTTCCTCGCCTAGCGAAGCCGCGAGGTGTTTTGACTGGTGGTTTAGCACCTGGAGCCATGCGCGTGTAAACGGCGAGCGTTGCTCGTTCCGTAGAGCTTTCTGCTTGTCCGTTCGAATTCCGCGCTCCTTCCCTGGTCGACATCAGCTTATCTCACACTCACCATCACGACCGTTGGTGTCATTCTAAACGTCACGATGGACCGATCGCGGCATCGCAGCCGTAGATTCGACTGTCCTCGCGCCGAAGCTCAAAACACCCGCCTTTCCCTGTCTACACCGTTCAAGCGAGCCGTCGCACCGCTGCTGATCCTGGCGCTGCTGCAAGGCGTGGCGACGACGGCGACGTCTGCGACGCCTGCGACGGACGACGGCACGTACTCGCATGTGCTGACGATGTCGACGTTCAATGAGAGCCTCGCCGCAGCCAAGGAGCCCTGGGCGCTCGTCGAATTCTTCGCCAGCTGGTAGGCCGATGGTAGGCTGATGTTCTGTCAGTTTAATTGAAAACAACAAAAAAAAGTAGGTTGTTTGAGTTTATCTGAGCTGGTCCGAACCCGGACGGGTCTGGGGTAACACCGAGAAATGAGGGAGGGAAAACGCCGAGAGACTGGAGCTACGACGTGTCTCTGATCGGCACCTGGTTTCGGACGCCTCTCATGAGCACGCTCGCTGTTGTAGCGCGATCGTGTGCTTGATAATGTCCGTTACCTCGCGACGTGCGTGAGACTGCACTTTGCCTCGTCCTGGCGGTGCGCTGCCATCAAGTTCGTCCCTCTCCTTCCTAAATCAGCCACAAGCTCGTCTGCCTTCATTTCCTTCTTTCATCTTCCTTCATTTAATTCTACCTCCCCGCCTCCGACTCCCCCCCCCCCCCTCCCCCCCCCCCCTCCCCCTCCCCCCCTTTTCCCTGCTTGTCGCGTGTCGGAATCTCCCAGGTGTCCCGCCTGCCAGTATTTCAAGGTGAGTACTGCTCCGCTTCCCGACCTGCCCCTCCCCCTCCCCTCTTTCAACGCCATCTTACGCTTCCCGCCGTTCCCTCTCTAATCCAGTTTCCCGCCTCTCACTCATCATTTCCACTCTCCCTCATGTCCCTTCCAGCCCTGCTTTCTCACACTCCCCTCTCTCCTGCTCCCACTTTCCCCTCACCCGCACACCTCCTCCCGTCCCGTTCTCCCGGCATCCGCGTTATACGCCAGCCGGAGTACGAGCAGGTGGCGCGGCTGTTCAACTCGCCCTCCTCGCCCAACTCCGATTTCATCTACGTAGCCAAAGTCGACTGCGCATCAGATGTGAGACGCCATGGCCTGAAACTCGAATGGGTTTTTTGCTCTGGTTTTGGAAAAGCAGGTAGTCGCTTGGTAGTTTGAGCAGGCTTGGCTTTCAGAAGGCATCGCTTTGGGGAGTGGACGGAGTAGCAGCCTCTGGTGATGATAGCTCTCTATGCGTAGAGAGGTCTAGGTGAAGAGACACGGCAGGCCAGGCCATGCCCAGGTGGGGGCAGGCCATGGTCTCTTTGCCCTTACACGGCTATTGGTGTCCCTGCCCCTGCCGTTGCGACAGACACTTTGATGGTTGACCCAGCACGCTCCATGCTCCTGGTTCTGGGCAAACACCCTCCCGCTTTCCTGGTTGAACACGCCCTGGTCCCGTTTTCCGTCGTCTCTTCCTCCCCCTGCCACAACGCCAACTCCTCACCTACCTACCTCCCTTCGTCCCTTCCCTGCTCTCCAATCTTCCGTTTTCTCCCCATCTCCCATCTCATTGCCTCCCCTCCCCTCCCCTCGCTTTGCCTTCCCCCCCCCACCCGCACCCACCCCCTCCAAACCCCCCTCCCTTCCCCCCGGCTTCCCACGCCGCAGGGTCTGCTGTGCTCGCGGCTTCACCCGTGATAACCGTCCATGTTCTTTGGGCGACGGGCTGGTTCAGCACTAGCAACTGTCGAGATGCGCCTCATAAGCTAACCCAAACCCTCCGCCCTCCACCCCCCGATCTCCTCACCCCTCCCCTCTCTCTTCCCCCCCCCACCCCCAGGGTCTGCTGTGCACGCGGTTTGACGTGAGCAGCTACCCGTCCATGTTCTTCGGGCGGCCGGGCGCGTTCAGCAGCGGCGACCGGCACTCGGACGCGGGCAAGGCGGCTCTGGAGACTGTCACGCCGCAGGAGAGGACCTCACAGGGCGTGCTGGAGTGGATCAACGTGCGCACTGACAGGTCAGGGAGGCGATTGGGGGGGCGGGGAGGGGGGAGGTGGGGGAGCAGTGGGGGGAAGACGGCAAATGACAAGCAGGAAGCAGGAATGACAAGCTGGGGGTCTTTTCTGTTTGGGAAGGGAGGGGAATGGGGTGTGGTGGGGTTGAGTAATGATGCGGGAGTGCTTCTTGCTCATGCCCTCGCGTCACATCATGTTCCACCTCGTCTCACCTCGTCTCACCTCGTCTCACCTCGTCTCACCTCGTCTCACCTCGTCTCACCTCGTCTCACCTCGTCTCACCTCGTCTCACCTCGTCTCATCCTTCGTGCTCATGTCTATCATCCCATCCTAAATCCCTGTCCTTGCTGCCCCATGCGAATCCATCTGTTCTCTTACAACCTTCTTCAGAATGTTTGCGCTGCCCAAGAAGGGCGGGGAGGAGACGTTGACAGCGACGGCGGAGCAGGGCAAAGCAGCTGTCACCACCACCACCACTGACAGCGCCCAAGACGAGGAAGGGCAACAACAGGTGCCCCCACCACCAGCATTACACTGTCATGCTGTTGCTCTAAAAACCTCCAGCTCCCTTTATCTCCTTCCCCCAATCCAGTCTACCCCCCCTCTTCCCCAACTTGTCTACCCTCTTCTCCTTCTCCCCCTTCCCCGCTCTGCTCCCTCCTCTCCCCCGTCCAGTCTTTCTTTATCTCCCTCCGTCTCCCTGCACCTTTTTCAGTTCTCCTCTCCCTCTCCCCTCTTTCTCCTCTCCATGTGTGCATGCTCCAGGTTGGCCCGCGTGCGAAGCTGCATGACATAGAGGAGGCCACAGCTGTCGCCTTCAACTTCATCTTCACGTCCCTGGTCAGCCCCTGCTGCGTGCACTCGCACACACACACACACACACACACACACACACACACACACACACACACACACACCCGCACACACACACACACACACACACCCGCACACACACACACACACACACCCGCACACACACACACACACCCGCACACACACACACACACACACACATGCACGCACGCACACACACACACACACACACCTGCACACACACACACACAACACATACACACACACACACGCACACACACTCACACACGCACACACGCACTCACACACACTCACACACGCACACACACACACACGCACACACATACACACACACACACGCACTTGCCTGGTGCATCGTCCCCCCACCTAGCATGAGCAATCCCTTCATCCCACACTCCTGTCCTCCTCATCAGCACGCCTTTCATCTCTAGCGTCAATGTTCCCCTTCCCCGTGTCCCCTGCACTCGTTCCCTCCACTCCTCCTCCTCCTCCTCCTCCTCCTCCTCCTCCTCCTCCTCCTCCTCCTCCTCCTCCTCCTCCTCCTCCTCCTCCTCCTCCTCCTCCTCCTCCTCCTCCTCCTCCTCCTCCTCCTCCTCCTCCTCCCCCTCCTCCTCCTCCTCCTCCTCCTCCTCCTCCTCCTCCTCCTCCTCCTCCTCCTCCTCCTCCTCCTCCTCCTCCTCCTCCTCCTCCTCCTCCTCCCTCCTCCTCCTCCTCCTCCTCACCCCCCGCACTACTCCCTCCCCTCTTTCCCCCCCCTCTTCCCTCACACTCAAGACAGCCCTTCCCATGCCCTCGTGCAACCCTCTCCCCCCCTCTCGCCCTCCTTCCCCCCACCAGCCGCTCAAGAAGGCCATGTGCATCCCCTTGGAGGGATTTCTTCGCCTCATTGCTCAACACTCTCTCCATCTTCACAGCGTCAATGCTTCCCTTCCTCTAGCCCTCCTTTATCTTCCCCCCTCTCCCCCCTTCCTTCATCCCCCCTCTCCCCCCTTCCTTCATCCCCCCCCCCCCCCCCCCCCCCCACCAGCCGCTCAAGAAGGCCATGCGCAACCCCTTGGAGGACTTCATTCGCCTCATCGCTCAGCACCACCCGTCCAATAGGTCACTCCGCTTTCTCCTTTCCTGTCTTGTGTCGTGCTTGATGACCTGTCAGAGGCAACGACCTGTGAGATTCGTTGCGGTTGTGTTTTCAACTCATTTTGTTGCCGCTGAGGAGTGCTTTCCGACGATTCGTTGTTTTTTACGTTCTGCAATAGTGCACTTCTGTTGCCGGTGGGTGGGTTGCTGTTGCTAAAGCTGTCTCTGCCTCTGCACCTTTGGTCAGCAAAAACGTGCAGTTGGTACCCAAGCCCACCTCTCCCAGCCTCACTGAACCGCACTAGGCGTCACTGCCAAGAAAGGCGGTTCTTGTTTCATAGGCGGCTCTTCAGATCGAAGCACTGCTCTTGGGTGTCCCTGCCAATGCAGGCACCTGGCCAATGCATCCCTGCTGCTAAAACATTTGAATGGCATTTGAGGGTGACTTTTGAGTCCACTGAAAAGTCACCTCAATGCAGGCACCTGGCTGGGGCATCCCTGCTGTTCATACATTTGAATGGCATTTGTGTGGCGGAAGGACACGTTTCTGCTAAAGACTTGCAGTCTTCCAGGGAATGGTGTTCCGTTTCGCTCCATCTCCCTCCCAGCTTTCTCCCTTTCGAGCATTAACCCCTCTCTCCCTGACTCCACCTCATTCCACCGCACCGCGTATGGCACCTCCCTTCCTTCCTGTCAGCCCAATCCCCCAGGTGTCGCAATGGGGCGTCTGTGCTGCTGCGCCTGCTATTGCTGGCGTGGTCACCACCAGCAATAGGGGAGAAGGAGAGAAAAGAAGCTTGTCTTTCCAACGCGCTGCTGCTCGCAGCACCGCATTCCACCTCACTGCCCACCTCATCACTCTTCCCTGCAATCACCCCCCCAGGTGTCGGAACGGGGCGTCTGTGCTGCTGCGCCTGCTGCCGCTGGCGTGGCCGCTGTCAGCAATCGGGGAGGAGGAGGAGGGCAAGGGGCAGGGGTCACGCAAGGAGCTGGGGGCTCTGAGGATCAACAAGACTGCCCTCGCAGGGGCTAAGATATGCGGCGCAGACCTGCCATCTGGCACGTGGGTGAGTGGGTGGGGAAACGGGGAGAGTGGGGAACCGGGGAGAGTGGTGAAACGGGGAGAGTGGGGAAACGGGTCGTGCAAGGAGCTGGGGGCTTTTTGGATCAACAAGCCTGCTCGAGTGTTGGCTTGCGGAACTGACCTGCTGTGTGGCACCTGGGTAGGTTATGGAAGGGGGAGGGAGAGGGAGAAAAGGGCAAACGGGGTAGGAGGAGGAGGGGGGGGGGGGGGGAAGGGGGGAGGGAGGAGGGAGAAGGGGGAAGACGAAGTAAAGGGGGGGGGAGAGGGGGGCGGGGTGGGGGTGTAGAAGTGGGCGAAACAGAACGGGTGGGATGTGAAGGCACTTGATGCGCTTGTGAACGTGCTTGTTAAGGAGCCTCAGGCTTGGCTCATCACTTTCGTCTCTGCACTCCTCCACTCTACAGCTCCTCCTCTTTGCGTCTCCACCTTTTTCTCATTTATTTTGTCTATCCACCTGCACGTTTATCTCATTTAATTGTTTCTCATTGCTCCAGGACCAATGCAAGAGCAAGATCAAGGACCGCAGAGGGTACAGGTGTGTTCCCTGTCCCCCCTCCCAATCCTTGCTTTCCTTCTCCTCTTCCTCCTTCCCTCGCCTCCCCTCGCCTCCCCTCGCCTCCGCTCCCCTCGCCTCGCCTCACCTCCCCTCCCCTCCCCTCCTCTCTCCCCACCCTGTGTCCGCTCTTTATCTCTCCCCCCAGCCCTGTAAACACAAGCGTTTCACTACAAGCGAATGACCACATCCATGCATGTCCTTAGGTTCCCATATCTCCTTTCTCCAACCCCCCTTCTCTCCTTAGCGTCCCTCCGCCACCGTACTTCCACGCGGGGAGAGGGACAGGGCTCTCGCTAAGCCTAGGGTATTCCGTTAGGTCACGGAATCGGCCCCGAAAATACCCGTTAGCGGACGGAATCGCCGAAAGTTTACCCGCTAGCATACGGATTCGTCGAAGAGCTACACTTGGTTTGATCCTAGAGTAACATCCTTGAAAGCAAATGGCCTTGGCCACGGCTAAGGAAAAGCCATCGAAACCCCAGGGGCTGTTTCTCGTGCATACTGTTTACGCCTGAGGCAGTGGGAAGAGTAGAAAAACTCTCGGCAACTAACCTCGCGCTTTGCTTAGTGGAGGAATCAAAAATCTTATACTACGCAAAAAGAAACCGGAATCAGATTGAAAACAATTCTTAATTTCGCGACATTAAGGGTAATTACCCTGTTAGCCAGAGCCCTGGAGAGGGAGCGTCTGATAAGGGGCTGTGGGAACACGCTCTTACAACGAGGTGAATGGGCTGCTGTTCCACTCGCTGTCGGTCCGCTCGGGGGGCCGGAGCAGGGCGGGTGGTGTGTGAGCACCTGGATCCACTCATGTCCTAGCTGCTCTCCTCCCATATCCCCGTCCCAGAAAACCACACCCACCCTCCCCAACCTCCCCCACGCCGTCCCCCATCCCCCCCCTCTCCACCTTCCGTCGCCCCTTCGTTTCCCATGTGTGCCGGTGCTTCTCACTCACAGCTGTGGGCTGTGGCTGCTGTTCCATTCGCTGTCGGTGCGCGTGGGGCCAGAGCAGGGCGGGTGGTGTGTGAGCGCCATGAGGGACTTTGTGACTGTCTTCTTTGGGTGCAGCAAATGCCGCGACCACTTCCTGCAAATGGCAGAGCAGTGAGTAGGAGGGAAGAGGTGGGTCGTGCTAGGAGGCTGGTGGTCGAGTAGGCGGGGTTAGAAGAGAAGCCAGTGCTACGTAATCAACCTTTGAGGAAGAGCGGAGGTTTGAACTTTGAGTCAACCCGAAACCCCCACTCCCGTGATGCTACTCTTGCTTCTCTCGGCCATGACCCGTTCAGGCTGCACATTGATAAAGTGAAGACCAGCAAGGATTCCGCACTCTGGGTGTGGCGCGCACACAACTTGGTATGCCATGCCACGTGCTCTCTCGTGCTTGCTTTCCTCTTGTGTCTGGTGCTCTGTTGCTGGAATCTTGAGCTCCACTCAAAGTTTACATGCTATGCCGCCATGCAAGTGCGAATGTGTGCATGGTTGCATGGTTGCATGGTTGCCTCGTGCTTTGGATCTCAGAATCATTCGTTCATTTTTGTTGCATCTACTCTTTCACCTCCTGGCCTGGCGTCCCTGCTCTTCCCCTTGCACCAATGTCTGCAACAAATACCCAGTTATTACCTGCATTCTTCCTTTCCCTCCTCTGTCCTGTACCCTCCCCTGACAGCTCACAGCAGCCATGCGTTGCATCCCCTCCATCTCAAGCATCACAGTTCTCCCCCTCCCCCCCTTCCCCTACTCTTTCCTCCCCCCCTTCCCCTACTCTTTCCTCCCCCCCCTTTCCCCTACTCTTTCCTCCCCCCCCCCTTCCCCTACTCTTTCCTCCCCCCGCTCCCATCCTCCTCTGGCCTTCTCCCCAGCCAAGGTACGGACCAGGGGACACAGAGTGAGGCTGCCATAGAGAGGCCCCCAGGCGACCCTCCCCCCTTCCCCCTTTTCCCCCTTCCCTTCTCTCTCACCCCTTGCCCTTCTCCCCTCCCCCCTCCACCCCACAGGTCAACCAGGGCCTGGAGAAGGAGAAGCCGGAGGTAGGTGGCACTGAATACAGGCACCTTAGGAGTCCCACTGCTCCTCACTCCCCCTTTCATCCTTTCTCTCCTTTCTCCCCTCTCTCTCTCCCTTGCCCATCCTCTCCCCCCGCCTGCAGGTCAACCAGCGGCTGGAGAAGGAGGAGGCAGAGGCAGGCGGCAAGAGGGGTGATCCCGAGCACCCCAAGCGGCAGTGGCCCACGCTCTTCCTCTGCCCGCTCTGTGCCCAAGACGATGCCATGGCCACTGCAGACTCGGCTGAAGCCGCCTCTGACCCGGACCTCTCATGGGACCTCGAATATGTGCACTCGTTTCTCTACAACTTCTATAACGAGCCGGAAGGGAGTGGGGGGAGTGGTGCAGGGGAAGGAGCGGAGGGGGAGTCTATTGGTGCCGGAGGTGGTGCGGGAAGGGTGGAGATGGTGGGTCGGAGAGAGGGGGGAGGCGGGGGGATGGTGATGGGTGGGCTGGTTTTGATGCTGCTGGTGTGCTTCTGTGGGTGTGCCACGGTCCGAAGGTCCATGCTGCGCTCTCATCCTTCTCGCCGTCGCAAGTACCCCACTACCCTAGATGCTGTGTTGATGGCGGTGTGATCTTTTTTCGTTTCAACTACTTACGTTCTGCTTCAGCTGCTGCTTTTGCTCATTCTCTTGCCCCTGTGCATTGCTCTCACTCTCTTGCTCTATGTCTCTCTCTGTCTCTCCCCCTCTCTCACACACATGCGCACACACACACACACACATGCACACACACACACACACACACACACACACACACACACACACACACATGCACACACACACACACGCACGCACATGCACACACAAACGCACGCGCGCATGCACACACAACATGCTATGCCTTCTAAGAACACCAACCTTTTTCATTGCCCCGCTTCCCTGAGCTTTCCTGTTGTATTGCCCCCTCCATCCCCTTCTGCCCTTCCTCCTGACTCCTTCGGGTGCTGTCTTCGACTGGTGGTGGTGGTGGTTCAGGTTGAGGAGCAAGCACAAGTGGGGAGGAACGTACGGGCTGCATCAAGTCTGACCTCCTCATCCTCCTTTCTCACACCTGCTGCATACTGCTTGTTTCACAACTGCTGCCTATTGACTATTAGCCAAACCAACGTTGGTATGCATGGAGATGGATTGTATGCAGATGGAGGTGCATATTTAATTCCATTGACACCAGTGTCATACTGGCCATCAAAGCCATTGATTTACCATTGTGATATTCCTCCCTCTTTTGCCGTTTAAAACTAGAGGTATCTGTTGATTCGATCTTGCCTTTTTTCCCATGGAATGTAACTTATTTACAGCCTTACTTGCCTACAGATGGCTTTGTCAGTTATTTCTAACCAGTTCTGGGACGAAGCCTGTACCGCGCTTTGCCCAGAACAAGGGGTGTGGGCTGGGCAATGACCAAGATAGACCGCCGCGGAATGGCTGGGGATAAATTTTCGCCTGCCTGCTGGCTGGCGAAACGTCGTGCGAAGGCTCATGAAACTCCGACCTTCATCCGTAGTTTGTAGTTACCCTTTCTCGACTTGACGTAAGTTGGAGGAGAACCAGTAGTTTTCCGGATTTCTCCGTCCAATAATATGCTAGCGTTTCTGATGCTTTTTTCCGAAAGATTTTCCTCCCACAACAGCTAGTTCCCCACGATGCTGGGGACCCTGTCATTCTGTCCCACTCACACTCCTTTCCGCACTGGATACCCGTCATTCCTCCACCCAGCAACTGGTGGATACCTGTGGTCGAAGTACTTTCTGCATTTAGCAATACTGTACCTGAATGGCAAGGGTGCCGGGGAGGAGCAGGGAACGAAGTAGGGAATTGGAGGATGTGGAGTGGAGTGGGATTGGTGTTGCGGAGGGAGCGCTTCCAAGTGCGCGGCTGGACAAGCGAATGCCAGCCAAAATGCTATCCCCCTCTCCTCCCAAAGCCGTACATGTGGGGGGGGAATGCGGGATGCCGTACTCTTGCCCCCCACATATCCCCCCCCCCCCCCCCACGGCCCCTTCACGAAGCCCCTGCTCCACATTGCATAAATCTGGTCCAATCTGCACTGCCCTGCCCACCCTCGCTCGAATTTGTGCATCAAACCAGGCTCTCCTGTTCTCCATCTCGCGGGATTCATTCGACGTCGACACCATACGATGGCTCGTCTTGCCTTCACTGCTGCGCTCCTCTTGCTGCTCGTCGCGCTTAGCACGGGACAAGAAGCCCCGGTTTACAACTATGACCACGGCGGCTCCGACTGGCCGGTAAGTTGCATGCTAACAGCTCTCGTCTTGAATCCGTTTCCGTCTGTCGTTCGCTACGCCACTTTCTGCTGAAAGGCTGCTAAAGTTTTTATTTCTGAGTGAGATAGTCCCGATGTCACAGATGGAACGAGTCAGCTTTACATCTCCGTATCATCCCTTCAGCTCTCAGTTCAAAAACTTCAACCGTATCTTCACTTTTGACCTCACTGTCGTCGCTTGCTATTCCGCAGGGCGTGTGCACGTCAGGAGGAAACCAGAGTCCCATCGACATCGTGACGGATTCCGTCAAGCTTGGCGGAAACCGTTACATGAAGCTGGCGCACGTGCGGAGCAGCACCATGCTTATCAAGAACACCAACCTCTCCGTTCCCTACTCCATGAGTACGCTACTGCTTCTACTCGCCCACGCCATCGTCTATCTTCATTACGACGTCTTCATGAGTCAAACGTCGCTCTATCGTTTCCTTTTCGCATGATTTCCTCTTGCTACTCGTAACTTCTCCAAGTCCCTTCCATCAAATCCGCCGCATTCATTTACGCCCCGTTCCCGCGCGCCCACTGGCAGTGATCTACCCGACCAACAACGACTCCCTGCTGCACCTGTCCGACGGCACGTACTACCTGCACCACATGTCACTGCACACGCCCGCCAACCACCCCGTGAACGGCATGTACGCGCCGCTGGAGGTGAAGCACGCGTACTTCCACCCGGACAACGCCACGCGCAAAGCCGTCGTCATCACCATGTTCCGTCTTGATAAGAACGGCAACGACAACCCCTGGCTCAACACGTACGTCACGTGCGACGGTCGCAAGTGCTCTTGCTAGTATCGGCCCTTATTTCCCCCTCCCCTTCAACCCTCCCTCCCTCCCCACGCGCCCCCGCCACCCCGTCTCTGTCAACGTGAACCGATAGCTTTTTCAATGCCACGCAAGAACCTGGTCTGCTCGTAGTCCCTTTCTCTTGCGCTCTCTCACTCCCCATTCCCCCTGCGACATGCAGGATTCTGAACAACATTCCGTCGAAGCCGGGGAACGTGACCGTTGACTGCGACACGGACTTCCAGGAGGTTCTGGACCTGTCCAAGGGCTACTGGTACTATCCCGGCTCGCAGATCCACCCGCCCTGCGACGAGTCCGTCCAGTGGCACATCTCGCGCTCCTCCTCTTCTGTCTCCGCTGCCCAGGTACCACTCTCACTCTCACTCTCTCTCTCACTATAACTCTCACTCTTACTCTCACTTCAGCCTGGCCCATCTCGTTGAAGAATACGTTACTCCCAACAAGCCGCTTTTGAAGCTCTGTGGTTGGTCGTACTTGAAACCAAGTATACGGGACGCGCATGCTGCATGATGCATCTCGGATCTCTGCTGCCCAAGCTGCGACTGCACTAGACCTACTCGTCTCCTTCCGGACACGTGCTACTCTCAAGCCCACACCTTTATCCCGGAACGAAGCAACCAACATGGCTCTTCCCCCCCTCTGCCTCAACCTCCGTTCCATCCTCACCCCGCCTCTCCCTATTCCCTCTCCTCCTTCCTTCCTCCTGCAGCTGCTGAGGTACCAGAACTTTCTGGCAGATATGAACCATGGCGACCGCACCAACAACCGTGCGGTGCAGCCTGCAGATGGGCACGTGGTGATGGAGTATCGGTACGATGACAGCCAGGGGGGGGGACAGAGCCAGAACCAGGCAGCTGTTGCCTACAGTGTCTCCAGCAATGGTGATGATAGCTCCAGTAGCAACAACAGCGATAGCAGCAATGACAGCCATGATGACGACCATGATGACGACCATGATGACAGCCATGATGACGACCATGATGACAACCATGATGACGACCATGATGACAGCCATGATGACAACCATGATGACAATGACAACCATGATGACCACGAGGGGCATGATGATTGAGTGCATTCCAGCTGCAGTGGGCTGCTGCTAGTGCCGTGGCCATGGCGAATCACAGCAACTGCCTGTTGCATTTTCACGACTGCCATGTAGTCCCTGCATAGGAGGAGTCTCTGTAGGGTTGTACCACTGTTAGTGTGTGCTTTTGTGAGGGGCATTGTGGGTTCGAGTGTGGCCATAACGGGTGAGCCGGTTTGTATTGATTTGCTTGCGTATTGGTTGTTATTGCTTTCTGGGTTTGTAGTGTTGTGCGTGCATGTTTGTTTGGATCTTTCGAAAATGCAATCCTTATGAGTTCGCTTTGTGCACACACAGCTAGAGGAATATTGCACGCACACACACTCATACCTGATTTCCATACACCTTTTTGTCTCCCTTTATTGTGCAATATCCTGATAAATTATATATTGTGTTATATAATTGGTAGGTTTGGTAGGTTACTGAACTCTACTGTAGAGGGTATAACTCCCTCCTTGTATGCCTACTCCCTTCCTAGTCTCACCCTCTTTTCTCTTGTAACTTTCTCTCCTAGCTCCTAAACCTCTCGCCATTTCATGGCCGCCTACCTTCCTAGCTAACCTAGCTTCATAACATGGTTTCAGAGCAGGCCCCTTTCGCTCTGGCCTTCTCCTCTCGCTTCTGCAGTGTACTCGCCCCCCCCCCCGGTCAAGCCGCGCTGGCGCCATCACGCCGCGCCGGCCCGTCACTCTGCCCCGGCCCCGTCTCGTCCTGCCGGCCCCGCTAGAACGCGCCGGCCCCGCCACTCCGCACCGGCCCCGTCACTCCACACTGGCCCCGTCACGCTGCGCTGGCCCCGTCAAGTCGCCGTGCCTCAGTGCCTCAGTGCCACCATCCCGCCATGCCGCCGTGCCACGGTGGCGCCGCGCCACCGTGCCGCTGGGTCGCCGTGCCGTCGTGCTGCCGTGGCGGCTTCGCCACGCCAGCGCACAGACAGCTGCGGTCAGCGCCCTGTCCTAGGCGCCAGTCGTAACTATCAGAATTGGAATTTTTTAATTATGGTAAAGTGAGAGTACACACAAATATACCTAAGTGTTGTACCCTCTAAGAGGTAACCCTATACAGTCTATACAAACATTACAAATACAGATGTTTGACACACCCCCTAGACTGCATAGGGGAATACCCTAAACAAGCAGCTCAAGGCGGCACTACTAGTCCAACCTCTGAGACAAGGGTCTGAGAGACCAGTCAGAAGGAGTACAGACAAGGCAAGAACAAGACCAGGGCGGCACTACTAGTCCAGCCACTGGGAGAGGACACAAGTCCAGTCTGAGTATACATATAAAGGACAGTACAAGTCAAGGTCCTAGCAAGTGAGAAGCGACAGGAACTAGACCAAGCTGTACACAGTGCCGCTGATGATCTTTAGGCGCAAGCGCCTTCGTAAAGATATCAGCTGTGTTGGCACCTGAGGCCAAGTGTACTACGCGAGCCTGAAGTCGCTGCTGTAGCTCACGCAGGAGGAAGTACCGCAGCTGAATGTGCTTCGCTCTGCCCTCGAGTCGAGGCTCCTGACACAGGAGGATCATGGCCCTGTTGTCAGCGAACAGGACCGGGGCAGAGCTAGGCCGCTCACCTAAGTCAGTGAGCAAGAAGGTCAGCCAGCGGAGCTCCTGTGCCGCCATGGCACTAGCGTAGATCTCAGCCTCACAGCTGGACTGCGCAACAGACGAGGAGCGAGTAGCTCTCCACGAGACGGCACCTGAGCCAAGGCTGAAGCAGTAGCCCTGGGTAGACCTGAGTGTCTCAGCGTCGTCTGCCCACGAAGCGTGTGTGTGTCCAGTAAGGACCACTGGCCTGCGTCCTCCAAGCACTAACCCCATGCCCGATGTACTAGCAAGATAACGCAGAACCCTCTTAGCGGCAGACCAGTGCTGCGGTCGGTGTCTGCCTGTGGCCACAAAGCGCGCCAGGATGCTGAGAGGGTATGCGAGATCTGGGCGAGTGCAAGTCATCAGGTACATGAGGCAACCCACCAGCTCTGCGTAGGGGCCGCTGGGCTCTACCAACTCCTCAGACACTGGAGCGGAGAGTCTGTGGTCTACAGGCAGAGGGGTGGGCTGTGCAGAGGAGAACTGAAGGCTGAACCTCTGAAGGACCTAGCGCACCAAGTGTGACTGAGTCAGGGTGATGGTGCGCGCAGCTCTGTCCCTGGAGATCTGCAAGCCAAGGTAACGGCGCAGTTCTCCAAGGTCAGTGCACGTGTGTCTCTTCAGCAGCTCTGCCTTCACGGAGGCCAGTGCGTCCCTGTCTGCCGTGGCAAAGACCAGGTCGTCGACGTAAACAAGGATGTAGAACGGAGTCTGGCCAGCACGAACAAAGAGTGAAGGGTCTGCGGAAGACGGAAAGAACTGCAGGTCAGCAAGGGTAGCACGGAGAGTGTCGTACCACTCACGGGGAGCCTGGCGCAGGCCGTAGACGGGGCGCCGCAGGAGCCACTGGGTCCCAGGAGGGAAGGTGCCAGTTAAGCCCGGAGGGCGACGCAGGTAGACCTGCTCGTGTAGGCTGCCCTGAAGGAAGGCAGTGGAGAAGTCGAGGGAGTGAAGCTCGTAGTCATGCTGAGCAGCTAGGTGTAACAGAACCCGAAGAGTAGTCATCTTCGGGGTCGGAGCGAAAGTCTGGAAGAAGTCCACCCCCTCGCGCTGACTGAAGCCTCTAGCCACATAGCGCGCCTTGAAGGCAGGCGGCTCTCCAGGAGGGCGCTTCACCTTGAAGAGCCAGCGGCCATCAACTACGTTCACCCCAGGTGGGGGAACTGCGTCGACGAAGGTGCCGGTGGATCTCCAAGATGCCATCTCCTGCTCCATGGCAGCTATCCACTGCGAGGCCCAGGCTCCCGAGGTCGCCTCAGTGTAAGTGCGAGGGGTCGGGATGTCGAAAGCGTCTGGGTCACCCTCAGGGACTAGCAGCATGGAACAGAGATGGGGAGCAGCCTCGGAGAGGAAAGCAAGCTCGAACTGGCGGTCCTCCAGGACGTCACTGCCAAGGGCAGGAGCACCCCCGACAGACGGAGGACAGGCAGGGTCAGAGACCAGAGCGGTGGCGTAGTCAAGGCGGCGGGTAGAGGCGAAGTCAGCGACAACAGCGACAAGAGCGTCAAGGCACGAGACCGGAACAGACGGGTCGGTAACGAGAGAGGCAAGGACCCGAGGAACGAGAGGACGAGCGCCACGAAGGTAGTCGGACAGCGGGGGGGGCGCAACAACAAGGGAGGACGGAGGAGGCGACGGGAGAAGGGGAGGACGAGACGCGTGGGAACGAAGCAACATAGGGTGGGAGCGCAAGACAGGCGAGGCAGGACGAGCACGGGAGGGGCGGTGAGACCAGACGTGCGACGGAGGAGTCAGGTCAGGAGACAGGGGAGGGGACAGAGGAGGAGAACGAGGGGGGAGACGAGCCGGGGACGAGTCCGGCGGAGGAAAAAACAGGGCCGTAGACAGGAAGAGGAGGAGACGGTCGGGGAGGAACCAACGCAGGGTCGGGGAACGGAAGGCCGAGCAGGCGAAGGGCGGACACCGGCGGGGACCGCTGCTGCGGCGGCACAACGGCGACACCTGGACCGCAAGCTGCTCCTCGGCTACCACCGGCACTCTCCACACCAGCACCCTCAGAGGGACCACCCCCAGGGCGACCGGGACGAGCACCCCCAGAGTCAGCGAACGGGGGCTGCGACGGCGGCGGCGGTGGCGGCGGAGGCGACGGCGGCGGCGGCGACGACGACGGCTGCAGCAGCGGTAGTGGCGGCGGAGGAGGGGACTGGGGAGGGGACACCTGGGGAGGGGCGGCCGGCGAGGACTACACAGGAGGGCCACCAGAGTCAGAAGACTCCTCAACCGGGTCCACGGACGGAAGGGGGGTGACGTGGGACACACCAGAGGGGGCGGGACGGGGAGGAGGAGGAGGAGGGGCAGGGACTACCGGGGAAGTGGTGACCAGGAACAGGGGGGGGGTAACCGGGGGACCACGGTGGGGAAAGCGGCGGTAGTAGGAGACGGACTCGTCAAAGGTGACGTCACGAGAGTGAAAGAAGCGGTGAGACGGCGGGTGGTAAAAGTGCCAGTCGGACGCGTCAAGGGGAAAACCGAGGAAGACGCAGGGAAGGGTGCGGGCAGTGAGCTTGTCCGTGCCGGAGGCACGGACGTGAGCAAGGCAGCCCCAGACGTGGAACGTAGACGCGTCACCAGGAGACCCAGTCCAAAGACGGGTCGGCGAAACCTGCGGCTGCTGAGGGTGCGGCCACAGGTTAAGCTGGTGAGAAGCGTAGCGCACAGCGAACGGCCACAGAAAATGGGGTGCACCGGCATGGATCATGGAGGTGCGAGCGACCTCCATGACCAAACCGATGCGTCGCTCAGCGACCCCATTCTGCTGTGGGGAGTCCGGTAGGGTGAACGTCTGGGTGATGCCCTGCGCACGACAAAAGCGACCAAGGACACCGGATGCAAACTCGCCACCACGGTCTGAGTGAAGACGCAAGACAGGGAGACCGCGGTGGACACGCGCAGAGACAAGCCAGGGGATGAGAGCGCCAGGCACGTCGGCCTTGCGCTCCAGGGGAAAGACTGTGGTGTAACGAGTGAAGTCGTCGACAAGCACAAGGAAGTAGCGCTCTCGACGCGGCCCAGGGACGGGGGCGGGGCCCCAGACGTCCAGGTGCAGGGTCTGCAGCGGCGCGGCAGTAGGGGGAAACGAGGAGGAGTGAGGGGCACGGCGAAGCCGACCCTCGACACAAGGCGTGCAAGGTGGGGCTGGAGAGGAGGGAAACGCGGGGAGCGAACCTGGGAGACCAAGGACGAGACCGTGCTGGGACATGTGACGCAGACGCGGGAGCGCAGGGTGACCTAGGCGGTGGTGCCACAGGAGGGTCGGGTGAGTGAGGGAGCGACAGGAGCAGGCAGCAGCAACCTGGGTAGACGCAGCCACCTGAGGGGGCGCTCCAACCGGGGGGGTCGCGGTGTCCAGAGTGAACAGGCCGGACACCGGGTCCCGGGGGAACGTGGACAGGGGGGCACCAGTGGCGGCCTCGGTACAGACAGCATACCGCTCATGGCCAGGGAACGTAGTGGTGACGCCAAGGTCCTGGAGGCAGCCGACACCAACTAGGTTCCTGGAGAACGAGGGGATATGCAGACCTGTAAGAGAACCCGAAGGAACCGCCGGACAGGGAAGGGTGGTGGAACTGCGGGCGACTACCGGACCGCCGGAGGG